CACTGTCTTCTGAAGGCCGGCTGCCTTCTAGATTTCCTCGATGGTGGACTGTCCCATCACCCTTCTCTCTCAGCAGTCTCTGCTGCCCCAGCCCCATCTCCTGGGTAGCATCGTGGTCCAGGGCTCCCTCAGCATGATCCCCAGGCAGCCCGGAAGGCGGCCCAGGTGGGAGACCTTGAACAGCGCTCTCGAGGTCTGCAGGGACGGGGTGGCAGCAGAGTGACGCGGGTGAAGGCCTTGACCTTCAGAGGCCCCATGGCCTCCATACAGGGAACTTGTGGTGCCGCCCTCTCTTTGGGTGGGAACAGCCCAGGTTGCAGCAGGTTGTCCTTTAAGAGATAAATTTTGTGCTTCCTTGAACATGAGTGTCAACATTTTACATTTCTCTTGAGTCAGAGTAGCTCCAGAGGATACTCTCCCATTAGGATGCCATAAAGCAGCTTGCTGACCCTTCAAGCACATTGTCGTGAATTACTCCTCAGCCTTTTGGTCCTCAGGTAAACAGCCGATTGGGTGTAATGCTAGAGGAAAGGGGGAGCTGTCTTTTTTTTTTTTTTAACATCTTTATTGGAGTATAATTGCTTTACAGTGGTGTGTTAGTTTCTGCTTTATAACAAAGTGAATCAGCTATACATATACATATATCGATATCTCTTCCCTCTTGTGTCTCCCTCCCTATCCCACCCCTCTAGGTGGTCACAAAGCACCGAGCTGATCTCCCTGTGCTATGCGGCTGCTTTCCACTAGCTATCTATTTTACGTTTGGTAGTGCATATATGTCCATGCCACTCTCTCACTTTGTCCCAGCTTACCCTTCCCCCTCCCCGTATTCTCAAGTCCATTCTCTAGTAGGTCAGCATCTTTATTCCCGTCTTGCCCCTAGGATCTTCTGACCATTCTTTTTTCTTTTTTTTTTTAGATTCCATATATATGTGTTAGCATACAATATTTGTTTTTCTCTTTCTGACTTACTTCACTCTGTATGACAGACTCTACGTCCATCCACCTCACTACAGGTAACTCAGTTTCGTTTCTCTTTATGGCTGAGTAATATTCCATGGTATATATGTGCCACATCTTCTTTATCCATTCATCTGTCGGTGGACACTTAGGTTGCTTCCATGTCCTGCCTATTGTAAATAGTGCTGCAATGAACATTGTGGTACTTGACTCTTTTTGAATTATGGTTGGGAGTTGTCTTTTAAGGTTAAGTATTTCTACATGTTTTATTCAGATTTCCAAAAGTGCATGTATGGGAGACCCATGGATGTATAGGTTGTATTACATTCTAATTAAATTTGGAAAAAATCAAATTGGAGTATTTTAAGTGAAAGAAAAAGCAGGATGTGTCACAGTACTGTGTATCCAGTTGAACAGAGAAGGAAAAGGAAAAGAATATATAGTGTTTTATTCTATTTTCATTTTAAAAAATCTTTGGAAGAAATCAGAAGAAACTGTTAACAGTGTTTACCAGTTAGAGGGCCAGGGAGGACCTGGGCAGACGGAGGACAAGGGCGGGAGAAGGATTTTCAATGTGCTCATTTTTTTCACTTAAATGTATTTGTTGGACTTTGAATATACTGGCAGTTTTGGCAGCTTTATTGAAATATAGTGGACAAACATTGGATGGATAAAGTATACGTATTCATAGTGTGTATACAGTTTTCTATTTTTTATTTATTTTTTGAGCCATGTGACTACGTATTAAAAATAGAAAGAAATTAATTAAAACTTTTAAAATTGTCTAAGATGATAGGTAAATAGCGAAGCTGGCCTGCCCTGGGCTTTGCTATATGCACTTGGGCCCCCGTGTTCCATCTAAACATTTGTATGCCTTCTGACTTCTTGAAGAGATTTTGGGGTAAGATGAGCTTGTTGGGGCTGCCAACTATCAAATATTCTCCTGTCATCTCTTAAATCCTACTTGATGCAAAAGATTCCGAGAACAAAACTATCACAGATGTGGCCCTGATCTCAGCGTGTTGACCTTCTTGGGAAAGAACAATGAATGGAGAGAAATTTCTAAATTAGAGCTGTAGCCTAGGATGCGGTCTTCCCCAGAATTCTGTAGCTGCAAGTGAACGAGGTTTAAGGCTGTTGTTACCTCACCTTCCACAGCCCCTTGGCAGCCTTGGCCTCCTCTGTAGTCACCTGGGACCTCAGAGCATCAGTTGTTGCGCATGAAGGTGCTGTCAGAGGGCTCCAGCTGGCCGCAGGACAATGTGAAAGGCGTAACTTTATCCTCAGTTCACCTTCACTGTTTTGTTTCAGCTACATCCTCATGTCAGGGTCACTTTGACCAGACCTCTTCTTGGTCAGGGAAAGGGTCTTTTTCTATCTGGAATGACTGACTCTGGTTCTCTGGGGAGGAATGACTCTTTTCTTCCCGGTGGACCTGTTGGCCACAGCCTGCCTTGGGTTTCAGTGATCTGGGCTTCTGAGAGTTGGCTGGAGGGAAGCAAAGATGAGAACTTTCTCACTCAGCTTTTGCATGTTTGCCGTCTTCTCCCTCCCTTTGTCCCTCGATCTGCTAACCCAGATAACTGCTTTGTCCTGCCCGGTTTGCACCACTGAGAGGAGCCAATGGGGCCCAGAGACTCAGGCCATTGTTGGCATCCACTTGCTCCCATTCTCGGGTTTCCACTTTCTGCGCTGCCCGGGCTCCCGCGTGGACAAGTCACGTCACTCTGTCTCAGTGCAGCTTCATTGTGGGGACAGGTTCTTAGGAAAACAGGGTAACACGGGAGTGGGAGCCCCGGTGAGGGAGTCAGGCCATCCGAGCCCAGGACCTTGCGTGGCTGTGAACTGTGTCACCGGGCAGTCAGGGCTTGAGTCAGAAATACCCTGGGTAGGTGCTGTGCGAATGTGCATTGGCTGATTGAGTAGGACAAATTCTCTGCTCTGGTTTCTTCAGTCGAAGGTAGAGATGACTTTTGTGCTTCATTGCCATTAAGCTGTACTAAAAATAATACATTTGTATAATGAAGATACGAAATGGACAAATAATGTATTACGTGGAGCTGATTTGTGAGATGTGAGGCTAGACGAGATGGCTTCTCAGGTGCCTTCTAACGCCGTGGATGTCTGGCTCCGTGAGAAGCGGCACAGCCTGGCTGAAGCCGGACTGTAGCAGGATGGAATTGCCCCGTCTTTATCTGCTGAGGGATGCCTTTCAGATTCCAGATGCCAGGCAGCTCTGTTCACCATTGGCATCTTTACAGCATTTTTCCTCCTTTCTCTGTGTGATGACTAGTTGCTTTCTGGTTTAACTCTCTTTAGATAACTGACATAATTTCATGCTCAAAACAAACTTTGTGAGGAGACAAGGCCAATACTATATGTCCCTTTTAGAGATGAGGAAAGTGTGGTCAGAGAGGTTAATATGATTTGTCCGAAGTTACGTAACAAGTAAAGGGCGAGGCCACTCCTCTCTCTATCCTGTCTACTCCTACTGCTCCATGCTTCAGTTTCTAATTTCTAAGTCTGAAATTAGGAAACAGGACCCCATGATGTTCGAGGGGGTCTATCATCCTAATCCAAAACCAGTTAATCACATATGAATTATTCAGTATCTTAAATCATCTTTGGAACAAGGAGGATTTTACTAACTTGTAACAGTGTAAATTGAATACCTCATGTGCAAAACACTGTGGAAGTAAGAAATACAATACAAAACGTCTGCCATCAAGTAGTTTAACCTCTAGAAGTCGAATGCCAACAGTGGACATCTCGTTTTATGTAGTAGGGCATTTCCTATAAGCAGAGATGGACCGGGGAGATAGGAACGTGAGAATATTGAAGGTCTGGGTGCGGGCTTAAGCTATGGGCACAAAACTCCAACTAGTGTTAACTAGGAAATGGTCTATCTTAGGAGTTTGGCAAGAATAGGTAAGCATCAGGTCTAGTATTAAGGGCTCTCGTATGCCTGGGTTGCTGACCAAGGTTAATAACGGTGTGCGATTTTCTGAGGCTGGGAATCAGTGAGTCTCTTAAAAATGAGGTACAGAAAAAGAGAATGGAAGCAGAGGACCGGCCAGGATCTTAGCTGTGAGTCGGCCTGGGGTGGAGTGGATGCCTCACAGGCCCCCAGCAGCTAGTTCAGTACTTGGTGTGACAAGCACATCAGTCATTGCCCCTCCTCTTCCTTAAAAGGCAGCCGAAATTTACAGAACCTCCCATTTTCCTGCCTTTTCTTCCTGAGGGTAGTTTCAAGGAATGCTCACAAGCACACACACTCCATTTATCATAGTAATTCTCAAGCCATCAGGAAAGATTTTTATGTCCTGACAGCGTCAGATTGCTAACCTGATCTTAGGTGGTGGTTTTTTGGTGCTATTTTCAAGAAATAAGCAAATAACATCTGGAATAAACATGCTTGGACTGGCTTTTTACAGCTCTTTTCATACTGTAAGTCAAGTAGTTCTGGGCCCCCAGGTGATTATATATAATTCATGACCATGTCTTGTTTTGTCATCTTTGAGTTTTTATATTTTGTGGTGAAAGCGAATTGTCATTAGTACGTTTTCTGAAGCCATACCTACTTGTCCTTTCTGTTTGTTTGTTCAAATGAAACAGTGCATCAAGTATGGAATTAGATTAATGGGGTAAATATTATGAATCATACACTCCCTCTAATCCGATGCTCTTTTTTTTTTGACCCCCATGTTTTGTTTTCCGTCTGTCATTCTCTCTCCATGTAGGCTTTTCAGCCCCGTGTAAAGCTGTTGGAGCGAGGGAACAGAGGTAAAGAATGATGTAATGCACTGGCTGCCCCAAAGCATCTTTTGTTGGAATGGTTATTCCAGTCATCTCTTTATGAATCAAATGTGAGGGGCTGCTTTGTGGCAGGAGGCCTCTGCGAGAGCACATCAACGGGAAAGAGAAAGAGACATTCACGTGGAGGGCTCTTGCTGAAAATGGGTTTAACTCTCCTCTTGCCAGTCACCGCCAGCCTGACCTCATACATCTCAGTACAACGGAGTGGCTGAGCCCTTGAGCACGCCACCATTACGTCATCGTGGCAAATTAAAGGAGGAGGTGGGAAGAGAGGACTTACTGTTGTCATGGCCCATGAGATGATTGGAACTCAAATTGTTACTGAGAGGTTGGTGGCTCTGCTGGAAAGTGGAACGGAAAAAGTGCTGCTAATTGATAGCCGGCCGTTTGTGGAATACAATACGTCCCACATTTTGGAAGCCATTAATATCAACTGCTCCAAGCTTATGAAGCGAAGGTTGCAACAGGACAAAGTGTTAATTACAGAGCTCATCCAGCACTCAGCCAAACATAAGGTACATGCTTGCTTTTTTTTTCCTTTTTAAAATAAATGGACATGCTGAATGGGGAATCATTTTAAATGAAGCCTCATTTTTAAGGGGAGAAAGTAATTTGAGGAAGTTTGGGTTGCTTTTTTTAAACTTTGATACCTTATGACACCTCAGAATAATTCACTAATTGTAGACACTGTCACACCTCAGGATATTTCTAAGCTACACAGAAAGCTTAACTTGTTTTTATTTGATCCAGTGCCCTGTCTCCCTATTAATGCTAAAAATTGTTTGTTTCATTAATTTAACACAAATAAAAAGTTATGTCTAATACCGTATATTATAATACTCAGTTATTAGCAATTATATAATAGTATATAATATTGTATGTATATTATTAATAACTAATATGTTAATACATGGTTTTATGTTGTTTACAAATGTACTGAAAGGAAATCATTCTTTTCAAGTGCCTTGAAAAGAAAGTAGAAACTAATTATATTACAAGTGTTTTTTATTTGTGGGAAGTTAAGGTAATGGTCAGAATTTAAGGATCTTCAAGGAAAGTTTTTCTTAGGATACCAGAATGTCGGCTTTGTGGTAGGTAAGCCTATTTCTTTTGTTCAGGAATAAAAATGAGTTCATGCTTTCATTTTCCAAAAAGCTGATTTGTTACTGAGTAGAAACCATTTTAAATGTTTCTTTAGTTCGGGGGATCGGGATCGTTACGTTTATTTTGCATATTATTTTGTTGTACATGTTTTTACCCTGTTATCGTGTTAAGGATTTAAAACTAAGGAGTTTTGAGCACATTTACACAGAAATAGCGTCAAGTTTGCCTTGTAAATGTTGATTTTTACAAACATTTAAACAGTGTATATGCTTGGTTTATCCAGTAAATTTGACCACATCTCATTTTTATTCAGATTATTAAGGAAAGCCGGAAGCAGTTACTTGCTTCAGCAGCAGAGGTGTATGGGATTATTTTCCTCGCTTTCCTCCCTGACAGCCTCACGTTTGCATTTTAGGTCGACATTGATTGCAGTCAGAAGGTTGTAGTTTACGATCAAAGCTCCCAAGATGTGGCCTCTCTGGCCTCAGACTGTTTTCTCACTGTACTCCTGGGTAAACTGGAGAAGAGCTTCAGCTCTGTTCACCTGCTTGCAGGTAAGGCTTGTGGTGGAACTGTGAGGACTCGCAATCTCCTTGAGCCTGTGAGTAAGCAGGATTCCACAACGAGCTCGAAGTACACTAGGTGGACGCAACTTTGAGGTCATTGTGTAAAATGACTTATTTATAGCTTTTGATTGACGTAACTATTCTAGTTAACCTGAATACTGTTGTTCCTCCCCATTGGTCAGTGTATTTTTGATTTATCTCAAATGCCTCTTCATCTGGTATTTACTAGCCAGAAGTGCTGTGTAGGTCTGTGTGCCCGTATAGATCTACAAACACCGAATGCTCTGCATTTCAGCTCGCTCTCTGCCCATCCCCAAGGAGAGGACCCGTCCAGTATTCAGTGTGAACCCCTGTTAAACACTTTTGGTTGAAGTGGACTCTAGCGATAAGATCACCCATCCTGGACATTATGTACAATGAGACAGAAAGAGAATGTGTGCAGAATATTTCTTCCCATAATTAGAGGGGAAATTTTAAAACTAACGTATTTTTGTTTTGTTTTCACAACTAAAAAAAGTCTCAACTTGCAAATGCTAAGCAACCAGATGACTTTATAAAGTGCATGGAAAGGACTAACTATTTTATATCTGCCCTAAAGGAGGGTGGTGTGGGAGTTCCATCTCATCAAATGCCAAAGCAGACTGTTCATCCTTTGCTTTCCCTGTTTGGCAGACAGTACTGAAGCCCTTTCACTCACTCTGGCTCCCACAGCAGGGAATACAGTTTGACAATGCGCAGTAACCTTTACCACAAAGCCGCTGTGTCCAGCAGATTCTGCCGCAGTGATCGGCAAGATCACTTTTAAAAATCTGATCTAAGAAAAACAAAATATTGACAGATATTGTCACTTTCGCACCTTTCGTCTTTTGTTGCAAGGAGAGTCCAGTGAACTTGATGTTACTGGCAATTGATTGTTACACTATGGACATTTCAGTTGTTAGAGAATAGGCTGAATCAGTTGTTGGTTTGTGACCACATTTAACTTCTCTGAAGGTTTAAATAAGACTTCTGTGTCTTCATTTCTCTCTCGTCAGCTTTTGCTCCTGGTTTCAAAGAATAAGCATAGTTACCTGTCACTTTCAGGTCGTCTGTTGGCACACGTTTCATCTATGCTGCAATTCTGTCCTAAAGTGAAGCCAGCTTGTCTCAGAACGTAGCTCTCAGAACTCTGTAATGGAGAATTATAGCATTAGGTTCTGTGTCTCTTGGTAGGCATGGTCTTTTACTGGGAGTGTAACTGTGTTAAATCTGACAACTGTTATAGAGTTCCACTCACCTCGGTTGCTGAGTTTAGGAACGCAGTCAGGCTTCTTGGAGCCACTGTGAGGGACTTTACCTTGGAACCCTATCGACGGAACCAGGGTTTTTCTTAAAGAGGGTGCACCCAGAGGGAAAGTGATTATCCCTCTTTGCTCTTGTTTGAGACGCTTTTCTCTACGGGGGCTCTGACCCGACAACTTGGCCAGGCGGACGCTCCTGGAGGACTGAGCTCACGTCGAGTTTTAGTTACTCAAGTAGCTTCTCCTCTTTCCCGAGGAGCTCTCCCTTGTAATGTGGAAGGTTCTTTCCAGCCATGTGCGTCTTTGGGAGGGGTGCTCACTGGGCAGTAATGAAGGAAAAGGACTCATTCTGACCATCGAGATCAGCCCTAGGGATACGTGGGATGGTGCTGGTCAGGACCCCTGGCATCCCCACTTTGTACCGGAAATGGGTCCTAGGCCTAAACGAAAGCCCATCGAGGCAGCTCCAAGAACCACATACGTGTATTCACAGCTCCATCTCGTCATCCACACCCCAGAATCCTGTATTTCTTTTAGCTTAGAAGGTGGCTTCAAGGACTGAATGACCTTGTTTGGGAGTTTCTGAGCAGCGAGATTTCTTAGGACACCTCAGAGAGGGTTCCAGATGATCGAAAGCCTCCCAGCCATCCGAAAGCTTCTGACCAGTTGGAAATTCCCTTGGTTAGTGAGCCTGTTCCTCGGAGTGGACAGAAAAGATAGTAGAAGAGAGCGCTGGGGAAGGCGCGACCATCAGTTCTCGGCAGTGTTTTGTTTTTTGCTTTAAGTTCCAGCAGCTGCTCAGAGGACGTCCCAGGGATGTGGGGTAGAAGGACATATCAACACGTGTTTCTTAAATATTTTGCTTCGGGGAAAATAACTGACCTTGGAAAAGCATGCTAGCGTCCCACAGGTGCTACGGGAAATGACAGGGCTGCTGGAGACAAGTTTCACTACGAGCTGCCCCTGATGCTTTCAGCAGTTACAGTGGCTTGTCGGCCCTGGGGGGGGATGTGATAATAGAAAGACAAAGTGGCTTCTTGGAGTGATTTCTCCATTACTTTAGAGCTTTCAGTTACTTTGAGATTGACAGGAAGAAAGTATTAGATATGTCAGATGGTTTTTTTGTGGTCATTATATCGGTATATGGAGTGAAGAATTGTGGCCCGAATTCCATTCACCTTCTCAGGGCCACCTTACCTAGGGGGCAGTGACTCTGGAGAAGGGGAAGAAGAGAACCTCCCCAAGGAACTGATAGAGGAAGCGTCTTAATAAGCCCTTTTCCTCAAGCAAGAGGAGACCCAGGCTCACCCGTGGGTCCTAGTTACATGGACATTAACAATGAAGACTCCGTTTCGGGAGAGGGTTGGATTCGGGGAAGCTGCACTGGAGCGCAGTGGGCTTAATTCTTCCATATGGAACAGCAGGTTCTGCTCTGGGACAGGCTAGCCTGGTGAACTTCAGCTTCTGCCAGGGAAAGGGGTCCTGTTAAGCCACCTTGACAGCTGATTATCAGTGAGACCGGGGTCCCAAGCCTTCCAGTCCTGAAACGTAGAACCTGGGTCTGCAGTGAACTCGGCCTGTACTGGCCACATCTGTGGGCCTACTCAGCCAGTGATCTTGGCCCCTGACTGATCCACTTTCCCTCTTTTTAAGCCCAGCCAGTATTCTAAACCAAGTGATTAATATTTGATAGCCATATGCCACATGCGAGTCTTTGATTAGTATCTTAAAATCTTATTTAAACCTATGTTGTCATGTATCATTTTCATTTGTTAGCTTAACCCCCCTCCTGGATTCTCTGTTTTCAAGCCGAGGACTGTGTCTTGTTCATCCCTGTGTTCCCCACAAGGCCTAGCACTTCCTCAGTTTTCAATGAATATATGAAATACAAATTAGCTTGCATGTAGGTTTATACCATTTGTATTTCATATGACTTATTTTATTCGTTTCGTTTAGTTTGTAAGTGATTATATTAAACAGTGATGAAACTAATCTGAAAGTGTAGCGAAAACTTGAGGATATTTTGACATAAATGATTTGCAAGTTGTCTTTGTTCAGGTAGAGAAAAAATAGAGCTGTTACGGGAAAAGTATCTAATACGAAAGTGTTTCCATCTATTTAAGCAGATTTCAACATGATTTTAAGATCTAGCAAATACACTAGTACAGGGAATCCCCCAGCTGTCCAGTGGTTAGGACTCTGAGTTCTCACTGCTGAGGGCCTGGGTTCAATCCCTGGTCGGGGAACTAAGATCCCACAAGCCACGACGTGGTGTGGCCAAAAAACAAAACAGAACACTAGTACAATTAAACAGGGCTTAAATCCTGAGCTTTGATGAGGAGCTACGAGCTCTAGAAAACCTAGTGCCACTCATAGGAGGATACAAGCCCTTGAATCCATATGAATTGAGAACAGTTGAAATAATGTTTTTTGTGCTTTAAAAGTAAATCGAGGGACTTCCCTGATGGCGCACTAGATAGGAATCCACCTGCCAGTGCAGAGGACACGGGTTAAAGCCCTGGTCTGGGAAGATCCCACACGCCACGGAGCAACTAAGCCCGTGCGCCACAACTACTGAAGCTTGCGCGCCTAGAGCCCACGCTTTGCAATAAGAGAAGCCACCGCAATGAGAAGCCCGCGCACCGCAACGAAGAGTAGCCCCTGCCCGTTGCAACTAGGGAATGCCCACGTGCAGAAACCAAGACCCAACGCAGCCAAAAATAAATAAATAAATGTGTTAAAAAAAAAAGTAAATTGCTTATCCTGCTTAGCCATTAATAAGTCTCCCAGTAGTCTCCCAATAACCAAGCCAGATTAGACCATAGCATTGTTTCACCCCACAGGGGATTAAAGGGTTTTACTATGAGTTGTAGCCTCATCTTAGCCGAAAAGAATGAACTTGGATCCCTTTGGAAAGTTGTCCCTCATCGTTGATGGATATGAACAGTTGCCAACCTTGACTTATTGATCAACTTTTCTGGTCTTGTTAACCTTCAGAAAACGAGTTCTCTCTAAAAAAATAATCTTGTTTCTTGGCCTTTATTCATTATATTACTTTATTTTACTTGCCTTTGTCTATTATCAATATATTTCTAAGGGTGCCAGATTGAAAACAGATATATTAGAAAAAAAGAAAAACCACCGAATCTGGACTTCTTTTGCGTGTGCTAACATAGAGGGAACAGAATAAGTGGGTTCGTTTAGTAGAAACAAAGATTGCTGTCCTATTATTTTCTTCTCTTTCCTCGCTGTTGTAACTCTGAGTAAAAGCAAAAGGGACCCACGAAAGTTTGCTAATTCTGCAGCACTCATTTCTACCCTGTGTTGAGGCACAGGATTGCCCCGCAGCAAAAAACCCTAACTGCATCACAGACCTCAGCCCTTTCGTTTACAGACGAGGAAAATAACAGAGCCCCTGCGTGACTCTCCCCAGCTCTCACTATTCTCACTGTGAGCCCAGGCCCCTGTCTGCAATAATTCCTGAGTCTTCTGGAATTCCCTCAGAAGGCTAGACTGAGAATCAGGGGTGCCCACTTCAGATCAGGCCTGTGCTTTTTGTGGTAGCTCTCTCTCAGCCTCTTTGTGAGCTTCAGAGTCATAGTCTTAGTTCACATTTTATGGGAGAAGCAATGTATAAAAACAGACTGTATATAAAATTTTTAAGCATTAAATTTTTTCAGCTGGGGGGAATCATCAAATAAAAGTCTA